CACGATGTGACTATCAAATGAAAAAGAGCAGAACCTCATCTCAAGTTCTGTAACAGCACCAAGAGTTTTATTGTGCTCTAAATGCTATAAGTAGTTCTTTTATAATGGCAACTTGTGTTTTGGGTTTAGTACTTTCCTGTGGGTGAAAGGTGATGAAAAGTTTACTAGTGGGCCATTGAGCTCATCTGCCCTTTCAGTTATGTCTGTTCATAAAAATAATTTCCTATCACAACAAAAAAAACTCAAGCCGAGCTCATCTCAAGAGCGCCTGTAAATTCCAAGTTACCCCGTGTTTGCATCCTGTGCTCCCTGTTGTAATTTCCTTTTTTCCTATTTTACAAGACACTTTCTTTTTAGAAATTGGTTTACCATAGCCCACTGACAATACCGATCTTGTCTTATAAACATGCACCTGTAGTCTCAACCCATGGAAACTAACCAGACTACAAGTGAAGTTTTTCTAGTACAAGGAAATAAATGTTGTAAGTAGATATAAATGGCGCCACAGAAAGGATATTACTCTTACTAAACCAGTCCCAAAAAGATATAAATAGAAATATTACTTCTATACTCTACCAGCTGAAAAAATCCACCCTATAACCATAAGGTGTACAAACAATGAAACAAACAATTTGCGCTAGTAAATAAGTCACCAAAATATATCAGAAAAGAAAAAAAATGTGAAAAATGTCCCATAAATCATATAAAGTCCCATAAAGTAACTCTTAATTTGTGTAATCAAGAAAAACGTTTTTTATAAAAACGAAATCCACCAAAAAAACTGTGTCAATCCACCACCAAATAAACTAAATAAACTCACCAGAGCTTTATGCTGATAATAATATAAATCAGCATAAAGCGCTTTTTGCTCTGGGAGCGATGATCTGCAGACTGGTGAGATAATACTTGGCTTTTAGGCTCGATATCCAGGGAGCAATACTCTGCAATAGCCACTGTTTGGCTAGAAAATTGATATCCAGGGAGCAATACTCTGCAGTAGGATGTGTCACTAGATTATAGACACCACCATATCCATAGGGTATTAGACCGGCCACTCGGGAAAATAATAAAAGCTCATGGTGCAGTACCTTTTAAAATCATCTCTTTTATTACACACACATTGCACTTACAAAAAACAGGTGTCCCAGCCGACACCAGCATCAACAGCATATCAGGTAAAACAAAAACGAACCCTGCCCGCCTTGCACATGCGCTGTACCGACCACTGGGAACGTAATGACATCACACCAATCAAGGAAATAAATGTAGCTTGTTTAACCCTGGTTCACACTGCTGTGACTTCTGCTGCGACTTGCTGCGACCTGCACACAGAAGTCTCAAGACAAGCAAAAACACATTCATTTCAATGGGTGTCATCTTCATTGCTAGCACTCAAGTCACAATGACAAATAAAATAGTTTCTGCACTACTTTTCTGCTGCTTTGGTGCGATATGAGTACCATAGATTGCTATGTTAAAATCACAAAAGTTTCAAGGTAGTTGTATCTTTGTCTTACTTTTGTGACTCTGGCTGTGACTTCAGAGGGTTTTTTAAACAAAGTCACAGAGCATCAAAGTAACATGAAAGTTGCATTGAAATGGCATCAAGTCACAAACAAGTTGCAAGGCAAAGTTGCATTGGAAGTCACATGACTCTGGGGTCGCAGCAGTTTGAACCGAGCCTTACTGTGGGCAGCCAGGACATTTTTCTCCCATTTTACCCCCTTCCTGTCCAGGCCAATTTTCAGCTTTCAGTGCTGTCGCACTTTGAATGAGAATTGCGTGGTCATGCAACACTGTACCCATATGAATTTTTTTGCAGTTTTTTGAGACAGATAAAACTTTATTTTGGTGGTATTTATTCACCACTGGGATTATTTTTTTTCTATATAAATGAAAATGTCCAAAAAGTTTTTTAAAAAGTGTATGTCTTATAAAAATTTGCAAATAAATAATCTTCCTTCATAAATCTTGGCCAAAATTTATTCAGTTATCTTTTTAGTAAAAAAAAATAACCCAAATTAGTTTATAACCAAAAATTATAATTTTTCAAAAATGTTTTTTTACATTTTTATTTTATTTTTTATATTATTATTTATGTATTTTTTTTATAACATACTGTCACCCTAGCAGTACAGTGTCACCATAGTGACACTGTACCACTTGTGGGGGGTGATGAAGACTTTTTTTTTTTTTTTACACTGACTGCTTTTACACCCATAAAGGCTGTAAAAACAATAATTTCTCCTTCTCTCTGGCTGCATTCTTGCAGCCTTTGAGAAATACTGTGAGAGCTGTGATTGGTCACAGCTTGTCACATGGTACAAGGCTGTTGTGAATAGCCTTGTACCATCTGATCTCTGTGATCATTCACAGATTTCACAGGTAGTAAGCAATGATGGCAGAAGTGACATCTTGCTTACACCTATTCATGTGATCACTGATTGGCCAATCAGTGATCACATGATCGGGACCTCGCACAGAGGTCCTGTACAGCGATCGGTGTTCTGCTGTGTCCAGAGGACACAGCGGGCACTGGATCGCGGTGCCGTGCGCTCCCAGGGAGCGCGCACAATCCAAAACGGCAACCCGCCCCTGCGCTGCCACCATCCAGCTGTTTATATACAGCGGGACGGTCGGGAAGTGGTTAAGCTAAAGGTTTAATTTGGGTCTAACATATCAGAGGCTGGGACTACAGCCTCTTGTCACATGCTGTGCCTTGTACTGGGCAGGGTTGATATTGCCTAATATATACCTTAGCAACGCTGAGCAACTGCTAGCAACATGGCAGTTTAAAACTGGACTCCAGGCAGATACATAAGACACCGCTCTGTATTCATAAATGCAGCATTACTTTTTTATGCAAGCAGTATAAGTGCCTGAATTGAACTTTGTATCAGCCTCTTGTAATCCACTGTACAGCAGATCTCAGTCTTAGGTAAAAGGGAAGCAGCATAAGGAGCCAGTAAGTTCATGTGATGATAAAAAGCATGCTAATAGGAGGAGAGAGCAGAGTAAGGGAGAAAGATATGCTCTTCAGCTGCTCCTCTCTTCACTGTCCAGTCAACAGTTGGGGGCAGGAAGGAGACCTAGGATTACCTAACTGTGGTAGAGAAAAAAAATCAGGTCTCCTGCCCTGTCATCTTGCTGCTCTGCTGCTGACACAGACCTTCACACACTAAATATTGTCCTGGCTTTGATTGATGTGTCCAGGATCTTAGATGATTTTTAAGCACTAAAGCCACAATGAGGAGGGATTGTTGGTCCCCCGAAATGTATTGGATGCCTTTTTATTTTTCTTTTAGTTCATTTGTGGAATCGAATAAATATTTTTGGAATCTTAGAACATTTATTTGGTGCTCCTTCTGGCCTGAATTCATATAGATTGCTCAATTCGTTTAAAGTGGTTGTAAAGGCAAAAAAAGTTTTTTTTTTTTAAATAGAAAACATGATATACTTACCTTTGATATACAATGGTTTTGCACAGAGCAGCACTGATCCTCCTTTTCTTGGGTCCCCCTGCCAGTGTTCCTGGCTCCTCCTCCCTCCTACCGATTGCGGCTTGCTATGGGGGCAATCTTGCATGCTCGCTCCCAAGCCCTTAAGACACACAGAGCGCAGCTCAGCCCTGCCTCTCCGTTCCTTCATACTGGCTGTGATTGACAGTACTGGGAGCTAAAGGCTCCAGCTGCTGTTTCTGAGCCAGTGAGGAGGGAGAGAGCTGAGCTAAGGACTTCTATTTGTATTGGTTGGAGATTCATGTCCATTGTCTCACCACTACCTTTCCGTGGAGGGCTTGGCTGTGTGGCAGAGCTGTGTAAATCTCAGGACCAGATGGACAGAAATACAAATCATTTGGTGGGTAAAACTGTTCCCTTATATGCAGGGGCGGACTGACAACTCATGGGGCCCCCGGGCAATAGGGGATCATGGGGCCCCTGTGTCCTTGCCCAATCTCAAAAAAGCCTATGAAAAAGGTACCAGGGGCATCTCATGGGGCCCCCTACTGACCCCGGCCCTCGGGCAGTTTCCAAATGGTCAGTCTGCCCCTGCTTATATGTATTTCATCTTTGTATTTTGCTGTTTCCCTAGAGTTCAGCTTTAAGCAGTTGTGGCGTCCTTGTCCAGCTAAGCATGGATGAAGAGGAGAGACCCTATGGGTCTTCCCCGTATACATTCAAGGGTTTAATTTTCAGTTCTGCCTGGAGCATATCTGAATTACGGGTGTCATTTGCACTTTCTGTTATGCTCTTGTTATGTTGCTTGGTTGTGGAATTTGTCTGAGTAGACTTTGACAAACTGGTTGATAAGCTGCCAAACACCTGCGATTGTACACCTGCAGGGCTCTCCTTTTCTCGTCACCCCTGACATCTGAGCAGATAATAGAGGCCTGGGGCGCCCTGAAAAGATTCAGCGATAAATCTGTCACTAGGGTACAGGCAGCCTGACACAAGTCAGGACATAACAAAGATAAACATGCGTATATTTTCTCTATACAAAACATGCTGCTGGAATAATAGGAACCATTTAATAACAAATCCATTGTAGCCAGAATCCAAAGAGCCCTGCACAGGGTCACTGGGAGTGTACATTTTGAAGTTTGTACTGTCTCATGTGCTCACTGTTCTGTCTATATCACCAATTAAAGTCCAACTTCCAAGGCGGTTAGAAACTAATTGATGGCCATGAGAAACGTTTTAGTACTGACCCCAAAATATTGACCAAATCCGGCTTTGAAAGACAACTAGGAGCCTGCAGTAGGTATGTTTGAAATGCCTTATCCTGCATCAAAAGCAGTGGTTCTAACAAGTCCATTGATGTTTATTGTCATTTTTTGTACTTTTTACTAAATATTTTTCAATAAATTTGCAAAAAAAAAAAAAAAAAAACAGAGGTTCCCTAATCACCAAAAAAGTGAATGGGTGGACTGGTGCACTAGAACAGTGACTAAATGCAAAATGGAAGTCCTGAACAGGCTGCTCACCCTGTATACACCTACAGGGGCGGACTGACCATTTGGGAACTCGGGCATTGCCCGAGGGCCCGGGGTCAGTAGGGGGCCCCATGAGATGCCCCTGGTACCTTTCATAGGCTTTTTTGGGTGTTGTTTGAGTGTGGGCGAGGACACAGGGGCCCCATGATCCCCTATTGCCCGGGGGCCTCATGAGTTTTCAGTCCATCCCTGTACACCTAGGGTTCATGTACAGTTATGGCTGGATCAGCTAGATGATGTTCCAACAGAAAGATGAAACTGCTGAACCTACATGGCTGCTACCCTTACATGCCTTTCTGTCATTCTCTGATATGTAAAGCTAAAGTTTATGGACCAATTTTTTAAAATCTTCACCAGGGATGGTATTTACATGAATGACAAGTGTCCCGTGTGCTGGTTATTTGCTCTGTTCTTCAAAATCGTCATTCCTCTGCCTCTTGGAAACCCCTGCAGCTGTGATCTCTCAGTGCTGCGGGGGTTAAAAAGAGCGACTGCCTTTCTGCCCCCTCCTCCATTCATGGAAGCTGTATTATCAGTTCCTGCATTACAAAGGCTTTATGGGCGGAGGATTGGGCGAATGAATGAAAGGTCCCCCTTGTTCATTCATTTAGCACTTTTCATTGTTACTACAGTGATTGCCGATAGCTTCTGGGCACCAATCAGAGAACACTTTGCCTTTTCCCAATGAATGCAAAGCATTCTGTGATTGGACCTCCTCCAGTCAGAGAATGCTTTGCATTCATTGAGAGTAATTGAAGGCATTCTGTGAATGGTGCCCATTCTGAGTGAGCAACCTCCTGTGTTCAGTATGCAGCAGGGCAGCCACTCAGCACAAAACTTAGAAGACAGCTGCGATCACTGTCAGTGCCTTACTACAGTGATTCTCCACTTCTACTGGGATCGCCCAGGTATAGAATATTCATACAGAAGACCAAGCTGGACCAATGTAACTATTCACAAAAAAGCCATACACAATCTTCAAGTGGTTGTAAAGGCTAAAGGTATTTTACTATCACTCATTCTATGCATGAACGTAAAAAAAACCTTCTATGTGCTGCTCCCACCTCCCCCATCCCCCTCAATACTTGAGCCTGATCTCGATCCAGTGATGTGCACGAGAGCTGAGGCTCCCAGCTCTCTCCCTCCTCATTTGCTCAGACAGTGTCAATTACAGTCAGTGGGGAGGGAGGGGGGGTTTGAGAGCAAGCGCACACAAGTTCCCCCATAGCAAGTGGCTTTCTATAGGAGCACTCAGCACAGGGGAGGGGCCAGGAGCGCTGGTGGAAGACCCCAGAAGAAGAGGATCAGGACTGCTCTGCTTCCAAACCATTGCACCGATCAGGTACTGTAAGCATGACATATTTGTTATTTAAAAAAAATGAAAACTGAGCCTTTAATATCACTTTAAGTTTTAAGGCATTTTTGGAGACTACAAGGGGGTTTGGAAATCTGCTTTTGTATGTTTTGTAAACATTTTAGATGTAAAAATACTAAAATGGAACAATTATATTTGCGTTTTCTTGTTAACACTGTCTCTATTCATGAAAACACTCCCATTAATATAATTCTAGCAGTGTCTACAATTTTGGTAACATGTCAATCATCAGTTGATTGTCCTCCACCCTATGTTGAGGCTGACACATGCCATAGATTTTGGGTGAGTTCTGGGCTGGCATTCCCTCTCCCTGAGTGATGGGACTGATAATGCATATCTGTCTGCCAGGTTCCTTGGCTGGGGTGCAGAATTCCTCTGAAAGGAATGCAGAAGATTATTTGTTCCTCCTCTGTACCAGGTCCCACTTAGAGCTAGGATGAAGCAATAAGGGAAAAGAACAAGAACAAGGGGCCTAGGTGGGTTAATGGCGTGTGCACTAAGCGCAGCTATAAATGTCCCAACACCTCCCCTGTCTGTTTAATCCATTGATTGCTGCGGTCAGCACATCTTGAATAAAGGGCTAGCTTTGAAACATTTGCCATAAATTATGTGAGGGAGGGTAACAGTAATAAGATTCAGACAATAAATCCCACTGTTTAATTGTAGCACACTTGCTTTGCTTTAGGGGTAAAGAGGGGCTCATAGGTTTATATACCCCTGACAAAATTTGTAAAATCTTAGGCACATCCAGAAGCATCAAAACCAAAACTTCTGGAACAAAATCATTTGGGGTGATGAGGCCAAAACTGAACTTTAATGTCATAACCACAACCGCTGTGTTAGGAAAAGGCCTATAAAGAGAAGCATGCCTATAAAGAGAAGCACATCATCCATAATGTGAAGCATGGTGGTGGATCTCTTTTGTTTTGAGGGGTCTGAACTACAGGGGGAATTTAGTCAAATTGATGGCAAGATGAATTCATTATATTATCAGAAAATATTGGGGGGGAACTTGCACTGATCAGCTCAGAAGCCCTACATGGACTGTACTTATACAAACCATTCTCAACCTTTTTTACCCCAGAGGAACCCTTGAATTAATTTTCAGGTCTTGAGGAACACTTGCTAATACCAATTTATTAGGGTTCATTGGGTAAAATGCGTTGCTGACTCTGCCAAGTGGTGTTGGTCTTTGAACTATGCAGGCACCATCAAATAGGAGGTCAATCAGCTACAGGCCACAGGTTTCCACATGATAATGATCCAAAGCATTCATCGAAGTCTACCCTTCAGAGGCTACAGCAGAAAAAAAGGTTCTGGAGTGACCATCACAAGCTCCTGATGTCAACATCATGAAATCATTTTGGGGAGATTTCAAACCTGCAGATCATGTTAGTGTAGTATATAAAAATGTAAATAAAAAATGATCCTACGAGACTTGAAGTATGTAGATAAGGGGAGGAGAGCTCAGCACAAAATCCAATGTCAAAAATATTTAAATAACAGCCAAGGACCAATCAAAGGGATGAAATCACATAGTGTAGTACTACCCCCCTTAGGGATAGCTGATGAATTTCGGTCCCCCTATAGTCCCACACAGCCAGTCAGTTAGCATTTTCCACACAGGCTGTCATCCGTAGACAGAAAACTGTTCTTGAGCATTTGTTTTATTATTTTATTGAGGGGATTAAAGTTGGATGGGGTAAGGGGTGTATAGGAATGCCCAAGGACACTGAAATACGAAGACAACTTCCTGAACTATTCACAGCTTCCTTCTCTGACACCGTCTCTGTTGGAGTGCTAGCCAGCAACTCCAGTTGTACTACCCCAGACCCTAGATGAACTCCTCTTCACCCAGCGCAATCAGGAGACTTTCTTCCTGAGCAGGGGATCTGGCTCCTGTTCCTTTAAATGGGTAACAGCCACTAGTAGAGGGCTAATCTGTTTTCCCACCAGAGTGCTCTTTACTCTGTCTACCCAGAGGGTGCAGGTGTCCAGGGTCAGATCCTCTCCTGTACCGATTGTGGAATAGCTGCTGCTACCAGGCCTATCAGCTGAACTGCTCCTTCCCTGCCATACAGGTGGTCCTCTCTCAGGGGGCCAGTGAGTCCCAAGCAGGGGCAGACTGACAACTCATGGGGCCCCCAGGCAATAGGGGAGCATGGGGCCCCTGTGTCCTTGCCCAAACTCAAAAAAGCCTACGAAAAAGGTACCAGGGGCATCTCATGGGGCCCCCTACTGACCCCGAGCCCTTGGGCAGTGCCCGAGTTTCCAAATGATCAGTCCGCCCCAGTCCCAAGTTTTGCTCCTTTCCAGCTCCAGGCTCACAGGCAGGCCCCATCCCACTAGGCCTCCTACCAGCCTTCAACCTCAACCTCACATCTTCCTATCTCCTTCCACCTGACTCTCCTGCTACTGAGCAGGCTCCAACACTTTAGAAGGGAGTCCAGCCCCTTGCCAAGCCTCCTGTTGGGGATTGGCTGAGGTCCCTCAAAAGTGCAGCCAACCACTCCTCAGATCCACCCACTGCCTCCAAGACCATCCTTTGAAAACCTCAGAGCAGGGGAAAATTCCAGAGAGGCTGGCCTGCAGAGTCTCTCAGTCCTGGCTATCTCACCTGAGCTTCTAAACAGCTCCTCACTAACCATTATTGTCCAGCTACCCTTGCTAAACTAGGAGGGTGCTACACTAGGATACCAAAGAATTTACAGAACCTGGAGGCATTTTACCAAGAAGGGTGGGCAGCTTTACCAGATGAGACCACAAGCTGTGTATTACTGGTTTCTGGGATGTCCTGGAGCTGGATACAGCTGTCCGTAGGCATGAATGGGTGAGGTGGTTGTAGGTAGTTATATGCTGCTGTTTGTGTAAAGCAGCACATGCTCACAGACATAATGTCTTGAACCCACACTAGTTGCACTTGGTGCATTACACCTGTGTGCATGTGCTGCTTTACTAAAGAAGAGCCGCATAGCTGCATATATATTCCTAGCTATGGACAGCTGCATGCAGCTTCAGGACATCCCAGGCAACAGATATATGCACCCATGTAAATAAATGTCCGTGCCAAAATATATATATATATATATATATATATATATATATATATATATATATATAAATATTATTTCAAACATAAGTCCTTATTTTCCCAAAAGGATTTTCAAGACAATGTTCCAAAATGTGCTTCCACCTAATCACCACGTGAAAAATAATATTGACCGCACTCACCAGATGGAGGTGAGTAATAAGCCTCATAGGATATAAGGGATCCTATAGCCCCCAGGAGGAACTCAAATCGCCTTCTTCACCCTGCTTAGATACAGCAATCGACTCCACTCTACTTCTCCATGGAATCCTCAATAATGTGCAAGGAAAGAAAGGCTACATAGTGTAATACTGCCACTCAATACCATATAAATCGATAGAATAAGGACACTCACATGTTTCAATAAAATAACAGGCCTTGTTTAATAGCCTCAAAGGCTTCAAAGGAACAAGTTTCCAAATTGTAAATATAGCGATCTCACGCTTTAAGAACCACTGTAGAAGATGACCAGCTTTCCACCTCTAAAATGACCGCTTGAACCGCAAAAGTCGGCGTGCGTTCCAAATACCGGAAGTGACGTAGGCCAAGATGAAGGCAGACCAGAAGTGCGTCAACGCGTTTCACCCCACCCACAGGGCGTTCTCAAGACACCACCTACTGTCTCCAGCCATCACCCTTAGGGAGAGCTCTCATCCATCTCCTATGCAAATTAATAGAAACTACCTCCCACTACCACACCTGATCATTAAACCATTATAATTACCA